TGAAGCATTTGATATTTGCCACTTTTCATCAGAAAAAAAAGGGAAAAACTGAAATTATAACCTCTCTATATTTTCCAGCACCTAACCTATCTCCCTTATTATAATACATTCCTTTTTTCATGTAATATACTGAAAAAGCAGACAGAGTTATATAAAAATATAAAATTTCGTATTAAGGTAATACAAAAAAAAGAGAAATATATTATTCGTATAAAAAAATTCTGATGGTAGAATGTCTGGACAAATTTCATATAGTAAGTGATCACTTGACAGAGGATTTATTTTATACACTCGACCAAAAAAATATTCGTAAAATTTAAATTTCGCGCCAAATAAATAATTATGGAGTGGACAGAAAATATTGTGCTGCGTTGTATTTATATCAGAGATTATAGCAGAGAGTATAATGTGCGGGAACTACTACAGTAGTGCCCTCTAGCGCCCGCAGTCCAGAATCGTATCTAGATGTTTATTTGAGCTGGTGACTTCTGGGAAGTCGACTGAGGGGAGAAGAAAGAACCAGGGACATCTATAGTCGACACAAGCATAACTCATACACTTCACTGACCAACTAATTCGAGTTCTGAGAACTGTTGGGGGTAGAAGTTTAGCAACCTAACCTAAACCTAGCATAATTATCTTTAAATTCTTGTATTAAAAATTTTACATTTACTTTTGTTGTTTTCATTACTTAATTTTATCATTTTTTTTAACATCTACCTCCCCTAATTTTTTTTGTATATATTTATGTATATTGATATATGTATAGTCTGCTTCATCTATCATGACAAATTGGAAAATTTATTTAGTTTATTTAATTTTTCAATATTCATCTCCCATAATTCTTTTATTATATATATATTTAATTTTTTAATATCTACCACCCCTAATTTTTCTTTAATGTATATATTTATATATATAGTCTGCTTCATTGTATTGGCAAATTTTATAGCCTTTCAAGATATATCAAATAAGATAATATATAGAAATATATATAGAAAAGTATTACAGAATCACAAAGCCTATAACCTATAAAACATGGTAAAGAAGAATCAGATCCAAGCATATAAAGTTACTTTCTATTTTCCACCCTAGTTTAAAATTAAATTGCAAAATTAATTTAATCTCTTTCCTGCTATCAAAAAATTATTATTTATTATCGTCCACAATAATCTGACTGCTATTTATAATCTTAAAAAAAACATAGTTTTTATCTATGAATCAGTCATTTAAATAAAACTATTTTTTTGCACAGTTTTGCTGTTTGATTCCATGTGAGACGTAAATTACGATTAAGCATTTGGCCTTCTTTAAAATCGGCTGACTTCCACGCGCTTCCCACACGCGAACGAGTCGACAATTTTCTTCTGCCTTTCATTTGGCCTTCGACGCAGGTATCTCGCGTTGCCTCATCCCACTGAGCGTTGCACGCCCCCGCATTTCCAGCGGGAAAATTGATCGATTATTTTCCGCGCGCGCGCGCTCACCCCGGCACGCAGCCTCCATGACATTGGAAAACGTTTTTAAACGGTTATTCTCCCGACGAGTGCTTTCCGATGAGTGCGCTTCGGATATTTCAGTCGGTCTCGATCACTTCCATCGTGTTGTTTGACCATGATGCGTTGCGCCGTCGGTTCACGTGTTCTGCCCTTTATAGCGTAGTATTCTACGCTTTGAAAGGTTATGTTAATATGTATTTATACTTTTTCAGTTCAGTATTGCTTTGTCCATTTGTTTCAATGATTATACTATTACTTTTTTCAATCTTTTTAATACAATTATCTGCTTATGCTGAGAATTATGCCAATGTACTTCATTTTATTATTTTATTATTAATGTATTTTATTACTATGCGTACTGTTCCTCGCATTCTGATCGATCTATCATAGTAATTATTGGGTATAAAATTGTACTCGTTTATATTTTTATTTTTATACGAGTAGAGGTAATTTTTTAAATGAGGTTATGTGACGTTTTATTTATTACTCTACTAGTGGTGTTTTGTAGAGTAATTCCCATTTTAGGGTAAAACGGCGTTAAATTTTATCTACAGTTATAAAATAATTAGGGGAACTAAGAGTTAATTAGAATAAAAATTATGCAGTTTATGTTCACAAATGTTTTTTATAATGATGCTAATATGAACAAAATAATAAAACCATAGATTAGCAGCATACAAGGTAGGCGTTTATAAGCAATTACAAGCCTATATTTACACTATCATCTATGCCTGTTTTCGATGGTTATACACTCCTTTACTGCTTGTTTATTAAAACTGAAAGAACCATGATACTTCTTGTATCCTTCTAGTCTATGATTATACAAATTTCAGTCGATAGTCAACTTAACATCGCGGAGTTTATTTTTCGATATCAAAGGCCTGGATCGAAACCCTCTGGAAACAAAGAAATTTCTGAAAAATATTATATAATACTTATATTATAGAAAAATAATTTAAATTTATTCCTAGTACCTACTTTGCATACCTTACGCAATGCCAGTTTTATAACACTTTACGCAATACCCATGATATTCCAAGATATTCTTATATTATCGCGAAATGGAGTATGGTAACGAAATGGAGTATGCTAACGAAATTCCTGCGCCACAGGCGCCATCTGCAAAGTAGCATGGGAACTAGTAGAGATACTAGGGAAATTCAAAATTAATCTCTGTGCTTGCAATGCAACGTCTTCTCAGCATTCTGTTAATAGAATTACGGAATATTTGACTGACAGGACGCGAATACGTAACAGGTTATTTCGACGGGTTACACCCGTTGCTTTCGATCATAGAGCAGCGAATTGTGAGAGAGGAATCTCATCGGTGCTCGGTGATTACGTCGCGCAACGTGTGTTACGTAACATGGAAGTCATAAGCAGGATCGCATGGTTCTCACGTTTAATATATGGGATATGTTCAATGGGGTATTTTGCCAGGAATAATTGAATGAATTACCGCGAATAATTACAACGTTGTATGTAAATTTCTAGTTAGTATCCTCGCATGGTAGAGGTTTAGAATGTTGCGCAATGGTGTCGTCTAAAATCGTCGAATATCCGCTTCGATAATTCGAATTCAAATAATTTCCGTTTTCTCTTTCTTTTTTTTCGACAATAATAATAAAGATATAAATTAATAATTTAATTAAAAATTATTTTTTTTTATAGATTTTACTGTATGAGATGTATTTATTAATTTATTAATAATATTTAATAATTAATTTTGAAAGGTGTTTTACTTTTTAGTTTTAATTCTGATTTTAATTATTATCGATTTTTTAGGGATATTTATTATTTACAATTTGCATCGCCCTATTGGTAGAAAATGAATTTTTTGAAATCGCGATCTCATTCTGGTCGATTAAAAAGAATTTATTGCTGATAAGAAGCTTCATGTATTCGTTGATAACATCACTTCATTAGAAAATTATTAGGTGTGTAAATTGTAATTGTACCTTTTGAAATAAAATTCAAATCTTACGGCTCACGCGATTTAGATCTAATCGTTAATGTAATTTCTTTTACTCTATAAAGTCACGCTAAGTTACATAAACGTAGATGCCAATTTCCTTTAATGGACTAGAAAATATTTGCTTCCAGAATAGTTTCTGGTAAAATGTTAGAGTACCTTTAAAGTCGTCAAATTAATTATATTTTATATATTCACAAATTATAATAACAAAAAATCATCAGATAATTACCAAATAAAAATCACAAATTAATTTCCAAACACTCAAATAAATAATGCACCATGGTGGACCCACTCCTAGCATTTTTATAATATTTGATACCAAATATTTTTATCTTTATCTTGTAATACAATTAGTTAATTATTAATTACTCATACACAAATTTTAAACTATACCAAATTCTTCATTATTTGATATTTACAAAAAAAAAATA